TGCCGCGCCGCCGGACGCACCCCCCGCCGAGCACCGCGCCACCAGAGCGCCCCCCCCGTGGAATGCTGCCCCGCGCCGCACTGCCCCCCACCACCCCAAGATTGGCCGCCCCTTACCAGGTGCCGCCCCAAGCATGTGCTTAGTTGTCTGGTGTCTGGAGCCGGCCCTGGATGCAGCAACCATAACAGCACTGAATTATAAATTGGGAGTAAGAATTTCATCCTTCAAATCTAGGGTGATCTGACTAGATCTGTCTATGCAACCAGATAGACCTGATTTTTCTAACCCACAGTTAGAAACAGTTTCTAACCCTTCTCTCAGACCAAAGATATACATAGAACTAGAAATAAAAGAAAACAAAAATCCTAAGATAACATCTGGAAGCAAATGAAAATCATGCTAGAAACAGAGCTATTTGCTACTGAGTAGCCAGAAAGGGCAAAGGATGCAGACCCTATGGTTGTCAGAAGTGATCCGATTTGTTTATAATTAATAAGTGCTTTATTCTTTCCACCCAACCATAAAAACATTTTTTACTGGTTTGCCTCTTGTATACATTTTGTTTCACAACACTCCCTCATTACTAATAATGCTGATCAATGGTGGGATGTTCTACTGCCATGAATGCAAGAACTTCCAACAACAAAAAAGTTGATCATACTGAAAGGGAAACTATCAAGTAGCTTTTATTTTCTATAGGGCTGTCAAGCAATTAAAAAAAATTCATAACGATTAATCACGTGATTAATTGCACTGATCAAAAATATTTTAATAAATGGTATTGTATTATTGTTTGATGTTTTCTACATTTTCAAATATATTGATTTCAGTTACAACAGAGAATACCAAGTGTCCAGTGCTCACTTTATATTTATTTTTTATTACAAATATTTGCACTGTAAAAAAAAACAATAATATTTTTCAATTCATCTAATACAAGTACTGTAGTGCAATCTCTTTATCATGAAAGTTGAACTTACAAATGTAGAATTATGTACAAAAAATAACTGCATTCAAAAATAAAACAATGTAAAACTTTAGAGCCTACAAGTCTACTCAGTCCTACTTCAGCCAATCACTCAGACAAACAAGTTTGTTTACATTTGTAGGAGATAATGCTGCCCGCTTCTTGTTCACAATGTCACCTGAAAGTGAGAATAGATGTTCACATGGCACTGTTGTAGCCGGTGTCGCAAGATATTTACATGCCAGATGCGCTAAAGATTCATATGTCCCTTCATGCTTCAACCACCATTCCAGAGGACGTGTCCATGCTGATGACGGGTTCTGCTCGATAACAATCCAAAACAGTGCGGACAGACGCATCTTTATTTTCATCATCAGAGTCAGATGCCACCAGCAGAAGGTTGATTTTCTTTTTTGGTGGTTCAGGTTCTGTAGTTTCTGCATCAGAGTGTTCTTTTAAGACTTCTGAAAGCATTCTCCACACCTCATCCCTCTCAGATTTTGGAAGGCACTTCAGATTCTGAAACCTTGGGTCGAGTGCTGTAGCCATCTTTAGAAATCTCACATTGGTATTGTCTTTGCATTTTGTCAAATCTGGAGTGAAAGTGTTCTTAAAACGAACAATATGTGCTGAGTCATCATCCGAGACTGCTATAACATGAATTATATGGCAGAATGTGGGTAAAATAGAGATGGAAACATACAATTCTCCCCCAAGAAGTTCAGTCACAAAATTAATTAATGCATTATTTTTTTAACGAGCGTCATCAGCCTGGAAAGATGTCCTCTGGAATGATGGCCAAAGCATGAAGGGACATACGAATATTTAATATGTCTGGCACATAAATATCTTGCACTGCGGCTACAAAAGTCCGATGCAAACGCCTGTTCTCACTTTCTGGTGACGTAAATAAGAAGTGGGCAACATTATCTCCTGTAAATTTAAACAAACTTATTTGTCTTAGCAATTGGCTGAACAAGAAGTAAGACTGAGTGGCCTTGTAGGCTCTAAAGTTTTACAATGTTTTGTTTTTGAGTGCAGTTATGTAACAAAAAATCTACATTTGTAAATTGCACTTTCATGATAAAGAGATTGCACAACAATACTTGTATGAGGTGAATTAAAAATACAATTTATTTTATCATTTTTACAGTGCAAATATTGTAATCAAATATAATATAAAGTGAGCATTGTAAACTTTGTATTCTGTGCTGTAATTGAAATCAATATATTTGAAAATGTAGAAAAACATCCAAAAATATTTAATAAATTTCAATTGGTATTCTATTGTTTAACAGTGCAATTAATCACAATTAGTTTTTTAATCGTGATTAATTTTTTGTTATTAGTGTGAGTTAACTGTGGTTAATCAACAGTCCTAATTTTCTAGCATCTATTGTTTTTGCAATATTCTCTCGGAAGCATGAAAATCATATTTATTGCCCTACTGGTTCTGTTCCTTTCTATTGAGTAAATAATCATTGTTTCCCCTCTCTGTTTCTTACAGTATGTAGCACAAGCCACTGGGGATAGAAAACAGTTCAGACATTCAATACAAGCTTCTAAACTGCAGGGCAGAGATTTACAGAAGTGAGATTTCTGCAGAATCACGTTAGTCAATTTTGGAGGTTGAAATACACAGTGTAGTGTGGGAGATAAGTGGTTCAACACTGACACTAGCACTGCAGAAAAAGGCCTTGGGAGTATGCCAGGAACGATGGTCCCTGAAGAACAGGACTGCAAGTCAGAGCACCCGATTCTCCTCTGCTTTGCCTTGGTGGAGTCGTGCACCTGTGCAAAGGGTCTGTAAAGTACTAACAAGTCAGAATTTTCCTCTCAAATAGGTGTACTTTGTATGGGTGTAAATGGAGACACAAAATACAAGACACAGGTTTTATTTCTGGCTTTATCACAGATTTACTGTGTGAGCTTGGCCAATGACCTGATCATTAGAGGTGGTGAGCACCCCATGATTGCATCTGTAAAATGAAGATATTAATTCGGTGTTTCCCTACCTGCCAGGGCATATGTGAAGCTTAACTGATTCATGTTTACGTGTTCTATAGCACCTCAGATAGAAGTGCTATAGAAATTCAGAGTATTTTTTTAGTTGTTGAGAAAATCAAAAACAAAAAACCTCCAACATTGTTAGTGGTAAAGGTGGGAATTGAAACAAAAAAGGGTTAGGAAAATCTCAGTTAAAGGTGCCCACAGCTAACTTTAATGATATCTTGTCTTTTTCACCAAGAGAAGTTGGTCCAATAAAAGATATTACCTCTCTCACGTCTTCCATATACTTGCAGCAACCCGCCTCACAGGTAGACAGATCTCCCTCCACGTAACAATAACATTAACTCTGCCCTCATATGAATACATACTTTGAACTTTATGAGTGCCTTTCATCCAAGTATCTCAAAGGGTGAAGAGGCCTTCAGCACGTAGGTAGAATGTGACCATCAGCTATCAGAGATGGCTTAAGGCTCTAATTGTGCATTTGCACCAATGTGCTTACTGCGTGACTCACATTTAGTCCTCCCCCCATTTTTAACTAACATTTTAGTTCAAGTGCTGCTCATTAATAAAAGCTTTCTGATTCATTCCTCAAGGGAGCTGTGTGGAGTTCTATCAGTCTGCGAGACTACCATCCTCAACAACATTTCCTGAAAAGGGATTTAATACACATTAGCAGCTGGATCATGAAGGAGGAGAAAAATGTAGGACTGACATCAAAAATGGAAATCAACATATCAGATTTATTTATAAATTAAGCAATAAATGATGATTGTCTAGGTTGCCAATCCTGGGGAAAGCCTATAATTATAGATTGTAAAACACCAGTAATGAAATCTCTTTGCTCTGTCCCTAGTTCTAAATAAGCTTTTCTTTATACTTTATAGTGCTTCAAAGTGTGACAAAAATATCACTAAGTTCTGAGATGCTTAAAATAAGGTATCTGGGTGCAACCACAGCGCTGCAGTGATGCACTTTCTAAGTATCCTATTTGCAATACTGCCATCAAGTGGAGAGAAGGAGAGAACGTTTTTATAAACAGATTTAATTGATATCTAATCATGTCCATCCAATCATTAACAAGAATGCACTGAATGGATTTGCTGCCTCTACTGAATGCAATAACACAGGGCACCTAAGTATTGTTATTTGAGGGACAAGCCCATCACGTGGGCAAGGAAGGAAATGGATAAACAAAGGGACTCCTGTTAAGAAAAGAAACCAGACTACTGACCATATGAAAGATGCTGTGGCCATCAGTAGAATAAGCTGTATTGACAGAACAGACTGGAGCCAGTTCACCCTGGATGTAACTCCAGTGTAGTCAATAGATTCTAAGGCCAGAAGAGATGGATTTGGAATGATAGGTCTAGCATTTACAGTTTCTCCATTGCTGGCTGGTGGTGCTGAGGTATGTACTCTTATGTATCTTCAGCTTAGAAAAGAGACGACTAAGGAGGGACATGATAGAGATCTATAAAATCATGACCGGTGTGGAGAAAGTAAATAAGGAAGTGTTATTTACTCCTTCTCATAACACAAGAGCTAGGGGACACCAAAGGTTTAAAACAAACAAAAGGAAGTATTTCTTCACACAACGCACAGTCAACCTGTGGAACTCTTTGCCAGAGGAGGTTTGAAAGCCAAGACTATAACAGGGTTCAAAAAAGAACTAGATAAATTCATGGAGGATAGGTCCTTCAATGGCTATTAGCCAGGATGGGCTGGGATGGTGTCCCTAGCCTCTGTTGCCAGAAGCTGGGAATGAGCAACAGGGAATGGATCACTTGATGATTACCTGCTCTGTTCATTCCCTCTGGGGCACCTGGCATTGGCCACTGTTCGAAGACAGGCTACTGGGCTAGGTGGACCTTTGGTCTGACCCAGTATGGCCATTCTTATGTAACTTGATGAGTTATGCATGTGTATGAAGAGAAGAATATACATCACAATGAAAAATGTATGTCACCAATCCATGTGGAGACAACTGACATCTAATGGGAGTGTTATACTACTTAGAAAGTAGCATCTTAGCCAGTGTGTGTATTAATGGCATTATGAACAACCACACTAGAAAAATATCTTGTATTACACTACTCTTACATAGTGCCTGTCATCCAAGGATCTCAGCCTGCTCTCCCAACACCCAGTAGCTCAGCTTCGTATCATCCCTGGGAGGTCAAGAAAGATGATCAACCCTCTTGTATAGGTGGGTAAACTGAGGCTAAAATAAGCTTAAGTGACTTGCCCAAGATGACATAGCAAGTTAATGGAAAAGCCACTCAGGGGTCTTGCTCTAGATTTCTAAACCTTTGTGATCTTTTATACACACAGAGAAGAGAGAAATACAGGTCTCAGAGATGTTCTGATCACACCACTTGGCTCTCTCTCCAGTGTGACATCAGTTAACACAAATAGAAGTAGAAGGAGGAAATAGCTGCATGGAGTTTGTTCTTTGTCAACTGGTACTGTTGTATTCAAAGTTAACATTGATAATCAAAGCTTTTGATACCGTCTCCCACAGTATTCTTGCTGACAAGTTAAAGAAGTATGGGCTGGATGAATGGACTGTAAGGTGG